TGCAATGCCTGATTTTTTTTTTTTTTTTTTTTTACATACCAACTCACAAAACAAAAGACTTATTGAGTTTATTTTTGTCTTTTAGGTAGTTATTAGAAAAAAAATTAGATGTGTTTAAGATTATTTGTATTTTGGATTAATTAATATACCCTAAGATTGTTCAAAGTGTACTGTATGTGTATGTACAGTTGAAGTCAGAATAATTAGCCCCCTTCGATTTTTTTTTTCTTCTTTTTAAAATATTTTCCAAATGATGTTTTACAGAGCAAGGACATTTTCACAGTATGTCTGATAATATTTTTTTCTTCTGGAGAAAGTCTTATTTGTTTTATTTTGGCTAGAATAAAAGCAGTTTTGAATTTTTTATGAACCATTTTAGGGACAAAATTATTAGCCCCTTTAAGCTATATTTTTTCTTGATAATCTACAGAACAAACCACTGTTATACAATAACTTGCCTAATTCCCCTAACCTGCCTAGTTAACTTAATTAACCTAGTTAAGCCTTTAAATGTCACTTTAAGTTGTATAGAAGTGTTTTGAAAAATATCTAGTCAAATATTATTTACAGTCATCATGGTATAGATAAAATAAATCAGTTATTAGAAATGAGTTATTAAAATTATTATGTTTAGAAATGTGTTAAAAAAATCTTCTCTCCATTAAACAGAAATTGGGGGAAAAAATAAACAAGCAATTAGATAATTTAGGGGGGCTAATAATTCTGACTTCAACTGTATATATATATATATATATATATATATATATATATATATATATATATATATATATATATATATATATATATATATATATATATGTATGTATGTATGTATGGGAGAGGTTCATAATTCTGACCTCAACTGTATGAATAGTTTAGATGCAAAAACCTCTAAATGCCATATGATATTTTCTTATAAATTAAGCATTTTTCTCCTTAATGTTACTTTTAGAGTGACAAATAAGTTACTTTCATTCTTTTTAAAGTGAAATAACTGAACAAAAACATAGGAGGCTGAGAAAAATGCTAATTTCAGAAGATTTTCAGACAGCCTTTAGAGGTTTTTGCATCTGAACTCTTCATACATAGCCAGATGTCTCGTTCTGCAAGACTTTGTTCTGTCTCTGTGATCTATCTCTAGCTTGACCCTGTTGCGTGTGTGTTTGTGTCAGTAATATACTGCAGTAGCAAGGTCTGACACGCTCTCATAAATTATCCAATTACCGCAATCACACTGAGTGAAAAAAAAGGAAGGGACAGATGAAAAAGGAGTGTGAAAAAGAAAAGAGCAGATGGTGGCCTCAGTCTGAAGCAACTGGTCACTCCTTCCTCAACACACTCGGTGGAAAAGGTGCAGTAGATGAATTGCGGTGTGTGTGTGTGTGTGTGGTCTCTGGACGGTTTGGTAATTGAGGGTTGTCTGAAAGACTCTCATCTGGTTTCTGTCTGCTGGAAGAACTGATTGTCTGAGATGAAAGCTTTTGTTAAGGAGTTTTATGCCCCACTTACAGTCACCAGTAGACAAACGCTTTTCTAACACCCGTTTAAATTGCGCGAGTGTTTCGCTTTACGGACAGGTATTGTGGTTTTTGTAAGTAGTCTGTTCCTCATAAAGTGGCCAAATAAATGTCAAATGTCAAACAGTGAAGCTTCTGTTTTGCCTCACACTCGTGTGGAGTCATCTGTGCAGTTGGGTTTATTGGAAAGCGTAATGCTGCCAAGTGATTGAGGGCACGAGGCACAGCCAACACTTATTTTTACGTCATCTTATTATTACCATTGTTTTTGTGTCCTTTTGTCCTACAATTCCGCCTTTTTTTTCTTTTTGAGTTTCTATCTCTCAAAGGAGATTTTAAAAAGTCATAAATAGGTAGATTTAAACTGGCAGATTGCTTGCATATACAGTTGAAGTCAGAATTATTAGCCCCCCTGATTTATTAGACTACCTGTTTATTTATTCCCCAATTTCTGTTTAACGGAGAGATTTAATGTAGCACATTTCTAAACATAATAGTTTTCATAACTCATTTCTAATAACTGATTTATTTTATCTTTGCCATGATGACAGTAAATAATATTTGACTAGATATTTTTCAAGATATTTAAAGGCTTAACTAGGTTAATCAGGTAAACTAGGCAGGTTAGGGTAATTAGGAAAGTTATTGTATGACAATAGTTTGTTCTGTAGACAGTCGAAAAAAAATTTACTTAAAGGGGCTAATGATTTTGTCCTTTGTTTAAAAAAATAATAACTGATTTTATTCTAGCAGCAATAAAATAAATAAGACTTTCTCCAGAAGAAAAAATAATATCAGACATACTGTAAAAATGCCCTTGCTCTGTTAAACATCATATGGGAAATATTTTAAAATGAAAAAAAAAATTAAATGGGGGTCGAATAATTCTGACTTCAACTGTATCTTAGGTATTTTTCTTTGAATTGTGGTTTTGTTTTCTTGTAGTTATTAGATTACCTTGCAATCTGACATTAGTTTTTAAAATTCCGATTTTTAGGGCTCAATATTCAAAATCTATCTTTTAAAATTCTGGCTTTATTTCTCAAAATTCCGATTTTTATTTTTTTTTTATCCCAAAATTCTTTATTTATATGTTAAAATACTAGCTTTGTGTTTCAAAATTCAGATTTTTATATCTCAAAATTTCCAACTTTGTTAAAATACAAACTTTGTATCTCAAAAGTCTCTTTTTTGGCTTATTTTATTTATTTATTTTTTGATCTAGTTAAATAATAATAATAATAATAATAATATTAATAATAATAACATTATTATATCTCATTATAATTATAATTATAATAATTTATATTCATTTTTATGATATAATATACTTTTCTTTTAAATTCTTATTCTTATGTCTTGAAATTTTATCTTTGTATTTCAAAATTCTCACTTTTATGCCTCAATTCTAACTTTAATTTTCAACATTCAGATTTTTATGGCTGAAAATTCTAACTTTGTCAAAATTCTCACTTTATTTCTCAAAATTCTGTTTTTAAGCCTCAATTTTTTTACTGTCAAAATTCTGACTTTTTTATTCTTATTTTTATTTCTCAAAATTATCACTTTGTTTCTCAAAATTCAGATTATTATGCCTCAAAATTTTAATATTATATCTCAAAAAATGTTCATTTCCAAAATTTCTCACTTTATTTCATAAAATTGAGATTTGTATGCCTCGATATTCGAACTTTATATCTCAAAATTCCCACTTTTTTTCTCAAAATTCAGATTTTGTGTCTCAATTATAACTTTGTGTCTCAAAATGTTGACACTTTCTCAAAATTTAGATTTTTATACCTCAATACTAACTTTGAATCTCAAAATTCTCACTTTATTTCTCAAACTTCAGATTTTTATGTCTCAATTCTCACTATTTCTCAAAATTGATTTTTAGGCCTCGAAATTCCAACGTTATATCTCAAAATTTTGACATGAATTTATTTCCTTCAATTTTGATTGTCCCTCTATTTAACATTTATATTCTTCAGTTCTTTTTTTGTTGTTTATTTTGAAATATGTCTTTTATTATGTCTTATTAAAGATAATCTTGCAATTCTGAGTTTACATAACTAAGCATTTATTTTGCAATTATGACTTTATTTCTCAAAATTCAGATTTTATATCTCAGAATGCTGACTATTTTTGAAAATGAGTTTTGACTGTCCCTCAGAATACGGCTTTTTCTAGTTTTTTCAAGTTCAATCCCCCCCCCCCAGAGTTATGTTTTTAGCTTTCTTTTAGTTTGTTTTGAAATTATGACTTTTTTTCCTCAAAATTGCACACTTCTTAAAATTGTAAACCAACTTGTAAGACATAAACTCAGGATTGCAAGGTGGTCTGTAATGCAATATAAAGTGTTAAAAGTGAAATCAGAATAATTTGAGATGAAAAAAAATTAACTCAAATGCAAGTAAAACTAAATTGCAATTCGTAGTTCATCTAATTTATTGATTTTTTTACAAGATTTTTCATGAGATAACATTTATTTTTCTTGACATTTTGAGTGTATATGTTGCATAAGTCTAACTTAATTTCTTCCACTTCTTAGTTTTTATTGAAAATCTGTGTTTGTATTTCACATATATGGTGTTTTTCTCAGCACTCCCTATTTCTTATATGAAACTGCTAATTCTACTGGATGTGACTTATTATTACTCCCTGTTTGTTTATGAAAAATATAATATGCCTGAGGCAATAAACCTTTGAGGAAAGCTTAATCATAACACCGTCTGAGTTTGTGTTCCTTTCCTCCCACGATCATGCATTAAATGTAGTTTTGTTTTTTGTTTAGATCCAAAAACTACTGCCATAAAGACATTTTGGATGTGTGTCTGACATAAAAGTTGTACCTAATGCTTAATTTAACAAATTATCAAAACTAAACCAAATTAGTGTTTATATTTAGAGTTTCTGTTGTCATTTTGATTTTTTACTTACATTTTATTTAATTATTTTTGATGTGCAAAATATATGATTTTATTTAATATTTTTTTATGATTTTATTTAATAATATGTTTTTATTAAATTTTTATTTTATTAAATGTATGTAATATTTATTATAATATAATTTAATTATGAAATTAATTAATATTTATTTTAGTTTTTGATTAGTTGTGTTGTTTTATGTCGAGTTATAACGCATTTCCATGTGGTACTGCATTTTTTGTGCTCATTCTGGCAATAACTCATTAGCTTAGGAACACAATAACAGTAGGCAAAGCTGCAATTACAGTATGCGAGTGTTAATTATGCGAGTGTTAATTATTTCTCTCATACCTTCATGTTTGGTTGTCTATTCCTTAACAGAGCTGCTTTTAATACAGTGCCTGCTCTGTACATACACTTTCAAGTCAGTCACAAATGATGGTTATTTCAGGCTAGGTGTGGAGTGAGCATCAGAAAAGCAGTCACTAGCATTGCATTGTGTTATTTTCAGGATTTTTTTTTAATAACTTCTCATGTCTTCTTGTGTCTCTGCAGCTCTGGTGTGTCGCTGCCATGGCGACTCTGACCCCCTGCCTCTTACAGATCTTTGCTGTGCTCCAATTGGCTGCCTGCTCGTTTCCAGAGGAACCTGAGCCTTTAATCTCCGCCCCCGCTGAGGGTAAGGACACGCCCCCTCCCCTTTTCACTGACTGTATATACAGCATCAGCAGAGACATTATTAGGCAGATATACATTACATCATGGGTATCTAACGCATGTACTGTATATTTTGAGCAACACAGGTACCTTGATGTAAATGGTATGAATCATAATTGTAATTGTTTTGGAATTTATTGCTTTCTTTTTAATGTGATTTTAACAAAAACAGCAACATAAATTATATGATGCATTGCTGTTTTGAAACTGGATAACACTTTACAATAAGGTTGTATTAGTTATTGTTAATGTATTTACCAACATGAACAAACAATGATCAATACATTTATCACAGTTTTTAGTCATGTAAGTTAGCTTGTTAACTCACGGGCATTAACTAATGTTAACAAGCATAAATTTGGATGTTAATAATGCAGTAGTGAATGTTAAACTAATCAATGCTGTACAAGTATTGTTCATAATTAGTTCATATTAGTAAATACATTAACTCATAAAACCTTAGAGTAAAGTGTGACCTAAAACTGTTACGCTATGGAAAATACTACTTGTAAATTCTCAGTTTCTAATGATTTACTGCATTTATTAGGTATGTTTTTGACCAAACATATTAATGTTAGTTTTATTCTGTAAACACTTGATACCTTTTTTTTATCAAATTTTAAATAAAAATGTTGTCATTAAGAGATTTTTTTCAGAAAGTGACAACATTTTTTAATTTGTTGTGATTAAAAGTCAAGGCTACTACACCAACAATGACATTTTATTACATTTCAGGAGTTAGATCCTTATTATGTTTTATAAAAAACAAATAGAGACATGATAAAACATTTTTTGCTCTTAATGACAATTTATTTCATTTATTTGGATGAAATGTTATTCGTTTTATATTCATTTATTCTGCATTAGTTTGCAGAATGAAATGAAAATTGCATATTATTGATACTAAAAATAGCATATTTGGAGAAACATTTTCGTTTTTTAAGTAGTTTTATGACGTATTTCTCATATTCATTTTTTTCTGATTTATTTGAATTAGATTCTTATATACAGCTTCAATGTTTCTTATTTTAATTTTAGTTTAAATGTAGTTGTGCTACTTATTTGTATGTGTACAGTATATGTATGTCGTGTGTGTTTGTGTGTATATGGGTGACGCAGTGGCGCAGTACGTAGTGCTGTCGGCTCACAGCAAAAAGGTCGCTGGTTCGAGCCTCGGCTGGGTCAGTTGGCATTTCTGTGTGGAGTTTGCATGTTCTGCCCATGTTCAAGTGGGTTTCCTCCTGGTGCTCCGGTTTTCCCCACAGTCCAAAGGCATGCAGTACAGGTATATATACAGTTGAAGTCCGAATTATTAACCTTCCTTTCAATTTTTATTTTTTTTTAAAGTTTTTCAAAATGATGTTTAACAGATTCAGGGAATTTTCACAGTATGTCTGATAATATTTTTTCTTCTAGAGAAAGTCTTGCTTGTTTTATTTCGGCTAGAATAAAAGCAGTTTTTAATAAAATTTTTTTTTTAAAAATTATGGGCAAAATTATTAGCCCCTATAAGCTATATATTTTTCGATGGCCTGCAGAACAAACCATTGTTATACAATAACTTGCCTAATTACCTTAACCTGCCAAGTTAACCTAATTAACCTAGTTAAGCCTTTAAATGTCACTTTAAGCTGTATAGAAGTGTCTTGAAAAATATCTAGTCAAATATTATTTAGTGTCATCAGAGGGGCTAATAGTTCTGACTTCAACTGTCTGTGCATATATATATATATATATATATATATATATATATATATATATATATATATATATATATATATATATATATATATATATATATATATATTTATATATAGTGGTAGGTGTGCTTTGGCTCGAGGTCACTGGCTGAGTGCCTTAGTGTCCCACCAGTGATGATATGCAACTATATTGCAATGCTACGAGTGTGATATTGAGAGGACGTCAGAACACCAGGAACCATTGCTTGTTCACCAACGTCACTTCAGAGTTAGTATTTTAATGATTCTGTAGCGTAATGTCTAAAGTGATAATAAAACAGGTCATTTTGCTCACATTTCAAGATTATGAGGCTGAACGGCATGAAATGCCATCAGTCTACAGAGATTTCACAGTATTTCTCTGATAACACAATAATTAACTCAGAAAAAGCCAAAGCAAAGCAAACACTACCAGAAGCACTACCAGATTACTATGGTATAAATACAGCACTACAACATACAAGAGGGAGATCAACTTAGTCATTTACCTGTTTTATAATAATTTGATCAGCGGTAGTTTGAAATTTACACTAAGTTTTTCTTCTCTAAGGACTTATTATGCCATCTCTGTCGCCATCTTGTGGCGGAACGTCAACTGTCTTTGCTCTGCTCAGTATGACAGGCTAATGGATGCCGACACGCTGTATCTCCAAAATTATAAATATTTTAAAATAGCCATTATCTTTATAAATAAACTGCGTAGTTGCAATCTAAACAACTAAATTCTCACCTTTTAAAGCCTCAAATGTACATTATGTTGTCCAACAACTGCAGCATATGTCAAACTGTAGTGAGTTTATTGATCTGCTGTCACTCTTTGGGGGCGAAATAATACAGAAGAGTGAGGAGGCTGTAGCAGTTTTGATGTTGCAGAATATCGCACGGCTTAATGTGTCAGCAAGAAGAGTGTGTTTTCTACAGGTGGTTTGTCAAGCCCGCTCACCTGTGTGAGGCACACTGCACAGTGTTTTGAGCGTGTTTAACTATTTGCATTGTGTCGAATAAATTGAACTCATAATTGCTAGCATGGGAGTTTGGTAGGTTATTAAAATGGTCTTTATTAAAACTTAAAAGCTATTTTTAATCAAATTTCACATTTGTTCAACCTTTTAATGTGGTAAAATTGCTGTAATGCCACTTTTTATGTGTCTAATTTAAAGCTTTTCATCGTTAGCACTTTTGTGAAGCCGTCGTGTACATATGGTTGACATATGATGTGGACGTGTCGCACTGTTTTTAAATAGTTTTGCACATTAGCGCTGCATGGATGGATGAAATACACCATATGGCTGTGATCTTTTTAAAAGCCTTTAACATAATGGTGCTGGAACAACCGAGACCAACTGCGTGTGTGTGTGTGTGTGTGCATGTGTACTGGTATTCCCTATAGACCTCACAAAGCAGAATCAGTGATATTGATGAACAACCACTCATGCATCTCTAATGATTCAGTAGAGACCAGGGGTCAAAGGTCAACCAGCACAATGTACTTTGGGTTTATGTGGGTCAAGTTTTATTGGCACTAGCATAGTAAACCCTGAATTCACCCATATTGTGGGGTCCTGCCAGTGTTCGCTCTCTGCTCGCTAAATGATTTAGTAAATATACTGAATGCCTTAAAGGTAAAGTTGAGCTAAAACAAATTGTTGTTGTTGGATGATGTTAGTTCACATCTCTTTATTGTGAATTGATTAATTTTGCTCGAGAAGTGTTGCCATGTATTCTTATTTTATGGTGTTTTGTGGGAGGGTGATTTTTGTTTTCTCTCTATAAAGCATGAGAACAGAGCTGGTGTGCTGTTCTTGTAAAATCTGGCAACACAAGTCTAGTCCAAAACAATACTGCAAGAATGAAAAATGGAGAAGGGTCTGTCTGCAGACCGGGTGCAGATGCAAGCTGGGCTGCGTGCAATGCTTTTAATGTGCACACTTAACCCTGCCCCTCACAGTGACATTACTAGGTCTGTTGAGTGCATGGTTCTGACATTTCATGTCTGAGATTGTGTCTCAGCTTGCATATGCATGTTTGCAGACAGATACTATTAGACTCACTGAAGAGCTTTTGAAAGCTTGTACCTAAAGCATTTTTTCTAAATTGATTTCTAAATCAATCAATTAAATCAGTCAAAACAATAGAATGTAAAAAACTGGATGTATTATCCATGACGTCACCCATAGGTTCCTGAAGAACACAAATGAAGGTACAAGTGGGCGTGGCCAACCATTGCCATTTCAGTCGCGCGTCATCGCACTGACCGGGGAATACCAAATAAGAGCAAAAAGGCGGAGCTACAGACGCCTGCTTGCATTTTGCTTAGACAATGGGAGAGACGTTTAAAACTTCATTACATGTGACTCGTGTGTGTGTGTGTGTGTGTGTGTGTGTGTGTGTGTGTGTGTTCTGACCACATGTGCTTGGTTGTATACTATATCAATAAAGTGTTTAGACTTTTAAAAACACTGTTGTAAAACATTAAGCCTCTAAACATTGTTCTTATGGCATTTTTCTACAGGAGGAAAATGCTAATTATTCCAAACACTTCAAATATAGTCTGAGTTAGTAAATGCAGGGCAATTTAAGAAATCCAGGCATAACACTGTATAACAGCATTTCAGATGGCTGTTCTACAGCCCACAGCTAATCAATCTGACAGATTCTGGAGTGCATTACAGCTCTAAAGAGAATCATAAGTGATAAATTATTTTAAATAAAACAAATGCATTTATAGAGATTAATTTCATTCACCTGGGAAATGAAGGCCACTTGAATTAATTGTGCTCACAAACCAGTGCACAGCATGACATATGATCTGATAATTGTAGGAAATAATTCTGAAAAGCAGTTGACTGCCTAAAGCCACACAAAACAAAACAAATATAAGATGTATATGTCACGTTCAGTGGATTATCAGCTGGAACCAGCTGAGATGAAGTGACCTAGCTGTCACTTAAGTGGCCACACCCTTAATTATGCAGACTTAAATAACTTAATAAAGCAAAATGGATGATTTCTAATAAAAAAACTTCACCCCCCTCACAGTTGTCATGAAGGGTAATATTAGCTTTATGAACCAAAAATGTTCTTTATACCAGGCTGTGACCACCTTTCTTCTGTGGTAAAGTTGGCCATGTTGACATTGGCCTCAACAGAAATGTACTCTATTATGGAGCCAGGCCTAGTGGAATTTCGATGAGTTGCAGTTTCAGTTGCTTCCACATTAGCT